TTGGATCTAGCTTAAAAACTGAGCCCTTGGGAGCCATTGCCGTGGTTCAATGTTTTGCGTCGAAATCGGCCGAACATGACGTCACTCTGACGTCATTTCGCCGACCTATGGTAGCTACGAAGTTCAAATTTTGACACAAGGTGTCAAATTGATGCAGCCTAAGGTACTGAAAGTTTGGCGTCGATACGTCAAGCGGTTTGGAAGTTATTGCCGAAAAACGGGAGGGGGGGGGGCTATAAATAGCCCCCCCCCAGTGGGGCGCGGGTTATGGAAAGGAAAAGCGTATCACTCTTGCTACAAAAGCTGTAGCAGAGGTACGTCGATTCTGATAAAAAACGGTGTGCAGCACGAAGTTTTAAGTCAATTTTCAAGTAGCGAAGGTAATTATATCATAATACACTGTAAAATAGAAGGTAACTTGTATCTTATAGGCAGCATATATGGTCCAAACAAAGATGAACCGCATTTCTATGAAGCTGTTGATGAGTTAAGTAGAAAATGGTTTTTCCCAATTGACTTAATGTCGTGGGAAACATGCATTATTACTCTGTCAAAAATGGTTTTATATGACGCACGTCTGAATGAAAAGCAACCAACATTTAATCATCTAAAAAACAAGATTCTGCGAGAAATCATGACAGAATACCAAGCTGCTCAAAGCGCGAACAAATATGAGACATTTATGAGGGAATGGGGGCCAGCGAAGGAAATTATTTCCAAGGTTGCCCACATCCCTTCAGCAATATAACTCAGGTCAGATCAAAACATTACAAATAGACACACACCGCACGTTGCAACTTCTTAGCACGTGTGTTGACACTTTTGGCACATCGTCAAGCTCACATGCTCATACATACCTAAGCATATTCTTAGCCAATCGCACATACACATTCACACCATCCTATACGCATCTGGACAAACATGAAACAATCATCCTGATCCTATTCCCAACCCTACTTGATGCGGCGGGCGCATCGGCCGTCGGTGTCGCCGGACGTCCCGCCACCCGTTTGAGTTAGTCAATCAGGGTGGTTTAAGACATGTAAGCTGCTGCGCTGATCCGGAGAGCGGGTAGGCCGCCGCCGCCCGTCGCTGTCGCCGCCCGGGGCGTGGCTGCTGGTCCTGTCTTCGGTGCTGCTGACGTCGCTGACGTAGTGTTGTGCGTCATAAAACATGACCGTTAAGACTGTTACATGTAAAAGTGAATTGTAGCATGTGCAGGGAATCTTGTGATGAGTTGGTGAGGGTAATTATGCCTGATGCTTGTGAGCACAGTTGGAGGTTGGTTTCGTGTTTGTTTGCTTTCCGCCCGTTTTATATAAAAAAGTTCCAGTTCCTGCTGGACGACGGCAGCGTGGTGACGAGGAGCTACACCACCGACGAGCGGGGCCACCTGGTCTGGCAGGGCACCGACCTGCGGCAGGCGCCCGCGCCACAGCCCGTCTACCAGTAGGGCGTCAGCTGCCCTAGCTAGCTGATCTTGTATTTGGTGCGCTATGCTGTTGTATTTTTGCCGTTATCAGCTCACAATGTATTTGCTGAAATATACTCATTTTAAAAAAAATCTAATTTGTAATCTAACCAAACCAAACCAAACCTAACCTAACCTAACCCAAACCCTGCTCATAACTTTGATAAGTTGCAGTCCTAACTCCTAACATCACTTTGATTCTCCTCAGCCAATTACATCAAGAGGGAGACCACACTGACAGGGGTCCAAGATCCAACTCAGGCCCTACTGTAAGTGTGGATGTCCTGACCTGTAGCCAGAAGCACTGCCACTGGAGCACAGCAGCTAATTCCCTATCTTCCTTCCAGCTCCACAATGGTCTGCATTTCTGCAATGGTCTCAGCAGGCCTAACTGAACACAAAAGGCCTTTTCACTTGCTAACAGTTTAAGACTAATCTTTTTCTAAAAACGGTTGTAAAGCAATGTATAATGAAATAGATATACGGTGTATATGAATAGAATTAGGTGTGCTGAGACTTGTACTTTATGAACTTGAACAGTGAACACTAGAGTAACTAATTCAACTATTTCTTGTTATTCAGACTGCCCGCCAGTGGACGGAGGCCCGACGACGGACGCTGGCTCAATGTCCAACAGTGGCCCGCCCGCCGGCGCGAATAAATAATCTGAATCGTGAGTGCACTAGCTGCAATCAGTCGCGCGCTTATTGCTGAGCACCTGTGAGCAAGAAAATTATATTAGGTCGTTCAATAAGTAACGAACAATCGGTCATAACTTCTTTATTTCTTTATTTAACACTTTCAAACTTTCACAGATTATAGATCAGACATTTCTGAATGCAGCCTATGCCTCAAACCAGCCGCCGCCCGCCTGCACACACTTCTCCCAGCGTTCCGGCCAACGCCGGAATTCCGCCCGGAAAAACGCGTTTTCCGTCTGTTTCACCCAGTTCATGACAGCGCACATGACTTCAGCGTCAGTCTCGAAGTGTTCACCATGGATGCCATCCTTTAGGGGACCAAAGAGGTGAAAACTGAAGGAGCCAGGTTCGGACTGTAGGGCGGCTGGGGCATGATATTCAGCCCTGTCACGCGATCTCCTCGCGCGTGGAGTGAGACAAGTGCGGTCGGGCGTTGTCATGGTGTATGGTGATGTTGTTGACATCCGAGCCGCGCCTCTTCTTCAGGATTGCTTTTCTCAGTCTCCTGCAGGACTGTGATGTAGCGGCCCGCTGTCCATAGTCCGCCCAGGTTCAAGAAGGCTCACCAGGATGACACCATGACAACGCTCGTCCGCACATGTCTCACGCCACACGCGAGGAGATCGCGAGACAGGGCTGAATATCATGCCCCAGCCGCCCTTCCGTCCGAACCTGGCTCCTTCAGATTTTCACCTCTGGTCCCCTGAACGGATGGCCTCCGTGGTGAACACTTCGAGACCGACGCTGAAGTCATGTGCGCTGTCATGAACTGGGTGAAAAAGACGGAAAACGCGTTTTTCCGGGCGGAATTCCGGCGTTGGCCGGAACGCTGGGAGAAGTGTGTGCAGGCGGGCGGCGACTGGTTTGAGGCAAAGGCTACGTTCAGAAACATTTGATCGATAATCTGTGAAAGTTTGAAAGTGTTAAATAAAGAAATAAAGAAGTTATGACCGATTGTTCGTTACTTATTGAGCGACCTAATATGAATGTGGTAGTTCGTCGTGAAATCTGTGTACTTTTGGATTCAGTTGTCAGAACATAAGTGTATTTTTGCCGTGTCCACTGCAGCTCTGAAACAGAAACATGGAGATCGGCTGTGTGCTGTAGCTGCAGGGGCAAGTAGTCCGTGCCGAAAAAATCAAAGGTGATATGTGAATTTAAGTGAATATACCTCGCTATATTTTCAATTTTATTATAACAACAAATGCGTCGACTGCTGATTACCCTCGGCTCCTTACAATAACGTTTGCAATACTGGAAAGTACATAGACAATAGATACCCTTGCGACCGACTGGCGCGATCCGAGAATCTCTCACTGTTTTTGCTGGCCTACACACGAAAACACGCCCGAATAGCTACCATCGAGAGCACGGAACGATGCTGGTGACTGACGGACCAGCGAAAATAGAGCTCCCGTCTACGCGCGGAACAGCGCTGATTGGCGCGGCTCACAGACTCCATTGGTTCATCAAAGTTCAGACTGTTGACGGTTGTTGCTCCTCCCTCCCCTCCCCGAGAGGGCGTAGCCAAGTAGCTGAGTTGTGTGCGCAGCGGGCGACCACCGCACAGTGGGCCAGGCGCTTCAAAAAAGCGGAATTAAATCATTGAGCACAGCTGCGGTGCCAAAAACGATTCGTTACAGGGTAAAATATCATGCTAAAGCCGAATCCGATATCCATTTTCAATTTTGATTGGTTACGCTAGGTCACTGACCTATGACGTCATTATTTAATTTCTGCGCTGCACATATGCCTGTGACAGGCGGGCACTATGCCGCATTTGCCGCGCGTTTGCAGTCTTTTCGTGGTTTCAAGCGTTCATACATGTGATATGATGTTGGTCCCATGCATTAGGGTGGGTGTAAAGGTCACCTGAAGGTCAGGTCAGGTCATTGACCTTCGATGACCTCGGTTCACTTTTTCGAGTTTTACATGTTTCTGGGCTAGTTTTTGGAGCTGAATTCGAATTTAGGAACCATTTGAACATTTACGAAGTAGTTTTGGTGCCTTCGTAACATGTTACGAAGCTGTCAGAGGCGGGTTGACATCTACTATGAATACCCGGCAGGACCCATACTGGTTGACCTGACCTGAGCTGACCCGACCTGGCCTAAATGCATGAAGACATCATCTGTGATCAAAACTAACATGATATTCGTGATCAGCATCCCGAAATCCCCCTTAGCAGCCACACTATACGACGTTCTAACAGGTCCCGACTTTCGGCCATTGACCTGACCTCAGAGGTCACCATTTGACCTATGACCTTAAAACCGGGTACCGTTGGCTTCGTCTGGTGACGACCTACACGATGGTTTTTTTCCGCGAGGCTCTAGCTCAATTAGGGGCCAAACGCGAGGAGGGTCGCATCCCCCTGTGCCGTCGAGGGATGCAAAACGGCCTATGCCGGCGAGGGTTAAACCCTTATTTGTCCATTTCGCGCAAAAATGCGCAAAATATTTGCATTGGGCAGCAAGCTATACACCTTGAGGAAAGTCAGGCAGCAAATATCTTCGTGTTGTTCGGTGACGTTTTCTTTATATCCTTATATAAATTCATTGCGTCGTTGCACTACCACGGTTCCGAACAGGCACTGTAAACCCCACCGCTACTAGTAAGCATGAAATAGTTCCAGGGAACTTGAGTACGAGAAACATGCGCAGAAATACCGGCTGTTTTTTTAAAGGTCGCCGTCCACTGCACTTTTATCCGCCGAAAATAAGCGCTTATTGGCAGAATTAACTACAGAGGCAATGGTAGGAGCAGAATCTGTAGACGCCGAAACGGCCCAGCCGCCGACAGCGTCTTTCGGCATGTTTATCTTTTCATCGCTTACTTTACGTTCTTAATTTAGTGGCGGAAAAGTTGGATCGTGGGAGCTTTTTCTGCCGCTGTTGACGCCGACTGCGCAAGATTCGAGACCATACTATTATCTTTTGCGGTGAATAAAGACGGCGGTATCGGGATTTCTTGAAATGAAGTGAGTATATTTTATATATTGATATAGCAACAAACTGTAAAAACCCAATTGAGGTTTATTTTCATGCTATAAAGGGGAAAATCATTGTGCAAGGATTTTCTATTCATCCTCCGCAACGACATCTCAGCATTTTTTCGAATTATTTGTGTCTTGTAGACTTTCAAATGATAGCATTTTGTTGACAATTTTATTATATGCATGACATAAACCAGGGGTGGAGATCTGTCAAAATTTCAAGGGGTTCCAGGCTGGGCAGATGGAGGCGGCTGGATGCAGTACCATTGACTTACATAGCAGTAATTTGTTTTCAGGGGGGGGGGGGGGTCCTGACCCCCGACCCCCCCCCCCCCGAGATCTCCACCTCTGACATAAACTCATCATGGGCGTGGTATGCTGTAGGTACTTATTCCTTGGTAGGTGGCAGGCTGATTTTGATTCATAGATCATCTCAAATAAATTCACAATATTCCAGACGCAGGCAGCCTTCTGCTGGGTTCCACTCAAAGGTGCCACTAAATGTTGATATATCATATACCTATTTCTGAATTGAACTTGGGATAGGTAGTCTGGGATGAGACTGTAATCCACTCCAGATCTGGTATGTTGAAGTAAATTATTTCCCCAAATTTATTTTATGTCGGCATGGGCATTCCTTCGTTCTCAAATTTGCATTGATCCATATCCATTTCTGTAGCACATTTGAATAAAAGTAAAGTAATAAAATGTGTTTCTTAACAACTGTGAGTCTGCCAACCTGGAAAAACATGTTATGCCGAATATGTCCAGCGTAGTGGCAGGATTGTGCCAAAAATTTCAGTGCACGTCCATCTTAACTTCGCATGCACCAAGGTCAGCACATGGTGGCTGCTGAATTTTTCGGCGCAGCCTGTGACTGGCAAGTTACATGGCAGTTTCATTGCCAGTCATATTTTAGGTTGAGTGATTGTGTATCAGGTGTTCAGCATTTTGCCTGAAGCCAAAGATGACCACTCAAGGTATTTTTTTTTAACATTACAGACCAGGGTCCCAAAAATGTATTTTGGTGTGGGTGTCGGAGGGGAAAATTCTTCACCTAAAAGGAAATGAGATTGGAAAATTGCCGGTCAGATAATGGGTCCAAAAAAGGTGGGAAAGAGACCAAGAGCATAAAATGATGTACAAGTGTATTAGAATGTAGGTCTATGATATAAAGCGAACACCTGACGCAAATATTTAATCTAAGAAAATTGGGAGTGCAAAATTGCTCCTAGAAATTGGAGGTAAGAGTGAAAATGGGTTTCATTTCGGTGTCATTTGCCACCCAAATCGACAAATTTTGGGACACTATCATTACCAAAATCTTTCCCAAGGTAATGCCATTTTTAAATGCTGGTATTTCGATGACGTGTGTGTGTGTGGGGGGGGGGGATCTTAGATTTCTCAAGCTCAAAGATTTCTCAGACTTGCCTCCAACTTATAACAACATCTGTCAAAAATTATCCCACTGCTGTTGCTCTGACATCTTCCTTTTCTGTCACGATAGGCCCGGAGACAGCCAGCTGGTCGAAGCTGTTCGTAAGCGGGAGGCACTTTGGAATGTGCGGCAGGCAGCATATCACCAGCGCAAGCACAAGCTGCGGCTATGGGCGGAGGTGGCGGCAGAGACCGGACGAAATGGTGAGCATTTTCTGAAATGCATTTTTACATTGACTTTGTTTTGGGCGTATAATGGTCGTTTCACAAGACGATCTATACAGGTCTGGAGGATTTTAGGACTAAAGTACGTATCGCATAAGTACGTAGGACAAAAGTACGTATGCAAATGTTCGTACGCAAATATACGTAGGCGATAAAGTTCGTATGCCAAAAGTACGTACGCAAATGTTCGTACGCAAAAATACGTATGCAAAAGTACGTAGTGCATAAAGTACGTATGTCAAAAGTACGTACGCAAATGTTCGTACGCAAAAGTACGCATGAAAAAGTACGTAGTGCATAAAGTACGTATGCCAAAAGTACGCACGCAAATGTTCGTACGCAAAAGTACGTATGCAAAAGTACGTAGTGTTAAATGTACGTATGCCAAAAGTACGTACGCAAATGTTCGTACGCAAAAGTTCGTATGCAAAAGTACGTAGTGTATAAAGTACGTATGCCAAAAGTACGTACGCAAATGTTCGTACGCAAAAGTACGTATGCAAAAGTACGTAGTGTATAAAGTACGTATGCCAAAAGTACGTACGCAAATGTTCGTGCGCAAAAGTTCGTATGCAAAAGTACGTAGTGTAAAAAGTACGCATGCCAAAAGTACGTACGGTTCGTATGCCAAAGTACGTAGTGTATAAAGTACGTATGTTAGAAGTAGGGTATAGTCGTGTAAGTTGGGCCACTTTTTCTTTATTGCTGCTCTGTTGCCATACTGCAGGGAACTCATGATAAATTCATATACCAAATAATATAGCTTTGTCCATTTCGCCCATAAATTTTGCTATGCCTTGTAACAAATGCTCATTAAATAAAGAATCAGAAATGTATTACACATTGATCAACTTAACCCAAGGGTGGGGTACGTACTTAATACCCTACGTACATTTGCTATACGTACTTTTGTCCGTGACGTACTTTTGTCCACACGTAGGGTAGACCGGGGCAAGTCGCCCCGCCGAGGTAAAACGCCTCACCGATGTTTCTCGGAACTGGCAGGGTTCTGGGGAAAGATCCTCTCTTCTGTTAATCTAGTGTATGGGGCTTCTTGCCTCAGGCCGTGGGGTGTTTTGCCCTGGGGTTGGGGGAAAATGCCCCATTTGCAGTTGCTTCACAAAGCACTTCCTAGCTGGGAGTCCGATCATAAGTGAATGAATTTGAGGGGTGGAATTTAAAGTAAAATGTCAAAAAAAGAAACACACATTGAGCACAAATTTGGCCTTCCAGGTGATGTGAGACAAAAGTACACTGTAAAAAAAGTTTAGCACCCATGTCAAGAACCAGCACCCTATCCCTGCTTATTTTAAGCAGGCTAAATGGTTAATAAATTTTAGCACCCTTTTACGAAAAATAGCTCCCTGTGCTGGCTTATTTTAAGCACCCTGAATGGCTGCAACCATTTAGGGTGCTTAAAATAAGCCGGCACAGGGAGCTATTTTTTGAAAAGGGTGCTTAAATTTAGCACCCAGTTAGCCTGCTTAAAATAAGCAGGTACAGGGTGCTGGTTTTTGACATGGGTTTTTACAGTGTAGGTACCTATGTAGCAAAATAAATTATCTGTGGCGTCTTGCCCAAGGCTACCCTACTTTATACCCTACGTACATTTGCTATGCATAGGCTTTTGTACGTGACGTACTTTTGTCCATACGTACTTTATACCCTACGTACTTCTGCGATACGTACTTTTGTCCGTGACGTACTTTTGTCCGTGACGTACTTTTGTCCATACGTACTTTTTACCCTACGTACATTAGCTATACGTACTTTTGTCCGTGACGTACTTTTGTCCATGCGTACTTTATACTCTACGTACTTCTGCGATACGTATTTTTGTCCCTGACGTACTTTTGTCCATACGTACTTTATACAGTACGTACTTCTGCGATACGTACTTTTGTCCCTGACGTACTTTTGTCCATACGTACTTTATACTGTACGTACTTCTGCGATACGTACTTTTGTCCTTGACGTACTTTTGTCCATACGTACTTTATATTGTACGTATATCTGCGATACGTACTTTTGTCCCTGACGTACTTTTGTCCATACGTACTTTATACTGTACGTACTTTTGCGATACGTACTTTAATCCTACGTACTTTTGCTTACGTACTTTTGTCCTACGTACTTTAGCGATACGTACTTTTGTCCGTAACCCGGTCTGGAGACATCAATGAGCTCGCCTAGCCACCACCCCACTGACATCTGGCGGAGCTTGTAGACACCAACCGATAGAGGGCAACACCAGCGGCCCCACCATGCGTAAACGCACGCACGTCACACAGCATGAAGTCGGCGGCGCCATACATAGGCGGAGCCTTTGTATGGCGGTACCGTAGATCAGTTGGTAGAGCGTTGGAGGACTCCGTGTGGTGAGAGCACGCGTGCCCGGTTATAACAGTTCGGGTTCGAAGCGCGACGGGCGCTTGATATTTATGGGCCTACTGACAGGTATGGTTGCGGTTGGTGGCAGGCCGTAGCCAGGTCACCGCAACAAGCTTCGCTTAGCGGTGGCCCTGTCCTTGTGAAACCTTCCTATCAAAAAGGTTCGGACTAAATTTATTTTAAAATAGCCTTTCTTGGGAAGTTTGTGGGGCAGAAATTCGTGTCCAATTGTTATGTTAGTTAAGGTGCAACACTGAATCGATTTTCATTACAGAGATAATATTTTGCACTACAAAGACATTTCAAAGCTCCTCAATGCGAAAAAGATTGGTCTGCTAAGCAACAAATTCCTACAACTGAGCTTAAGTTGGTGGGGGCCAAACGCTTATTGGTGGGGCAAAATGGCAAGTTGGTGGGGTAGCCGCCCCACCAACTGAATAGGGAGCTCCTCCCCTGGCGCCATATCTAATCCAATCACCATCTGTATGACGTCTAATCTGTTTTTTCTTCACATTTATATTAAGATTTCTGACGAACTGTCCACCATTGTTTAGACTTAATCATCATTATCATCGAAATCAAAACGTATGTATGTATGTATGTATGTATGTATGTATGTATGTGTGTATGTATGCATGTATGTATGTATACATGTGAATGGATACCAGGATAGAGATGTAGTAAAAATAAAGGTATACTAAATACTTCGTTTTTTTCAGTTGCTGATGTAAAGTCAAGATGGAAGTCCATCCGGGACTATTTTATGAAGTGTCGGCAGGCCCCGCCGAGCGGCTCTGCTGCCAGCTCGACCACCGACGGCGCCACGCAGAGGGAGCTGAGTTTCCTCAATGATTCTGTCAAGCCAAAGCCGTGAGTTTTTTTTTTTTTTACTCTTACCGTTTTTCCCTTTCGTAATAGATAAATTCGTACAATGCGTGCATTTTCTGTGTAATTGTTTATTGCCAGTTGTCAGCTTGCTTAGCTCAGATATGTAAATGGATATGAATGTATAGTTTTCTATAGTTGTAGATGTTATGTGGGACAAGAGCTGATTGTGACCCCCTCTATAAAAAGTTAATTGTTTTTAAAACGGGCTTCGCTGAGGGCTGAGGGCTGAGGGCTTAGTACAACATTTGGGTTGCAATATGTAGGTTAGATGAAATGACCTCCCCTGCTTGAATAGCTTGTTTTCGCGTCACTGTTCTGTATTGAAATTAGTTATCAATAGTTCTGTACATAACATATTTTAGCACGCAATAAGATTTGTAACGTTGGACGGAAAGTTAGATTACACGTACGGGGTGCGGTCTACTCCGTCTGGTGACGGTCGGCCAACTGAACGCCCCATCCACAATGAACTTTCCCTTTCCCCGATGAACATTTTATCGTCCAACGCTGAATCATGCCATGCTTGCCTTTGCCTTATGACGGTCCTTTCACAGCGTGACAACAAACCTGACGGCGCCACATGCTGATCCTGATCCCTTATCGCTTGTAGAGGATCCTCACTTGGTAGGTTTGATGCTTTGCGCAGTCGATACGGTTTGCATGACGCGCTCTTGTAATAATGAACTTTGTGTAGTAGCGTAATCCTGTCAGGTAGCTACTTATCTTGCAATTCGTCTATTGTGGGTTGTGCAATTTAACAATCAACTGACAAGGTGAAACCTCCAATACTCCAAAACCTCCAAACTTAAAAAGCAACAACAAGAAGAGAAGGGCGTTTATGTCTAACTAACTTGTAACTAGTTATGTCGTTTAGGCGGAACAGGACTGAAAGTACGAGGGTACACAGATTACCGTTCTGTATACTCAGCGCCACGGTCAAAGCCATGCTAATCTCTTTTTCAGGAGAACCCTGACATAGAAGAAGAACACTCTGGTGATCCATGGCTCGTATTCTCGGAAGGTCAGTTAACAGTTTCTTACTAAGGCTATAATGTTTACGTATGTTATGCAGTATGATGGAGATACTTTTTATGTGTATTATGCATTTTTAGAGTTCTTGAGATCACAGCGAAGGTTTTATGCATGTAGGCTAGCCAAACGTACTTGATGTGTGTTGACCGTAGATCATTAAAGCATCAACAAATACCAAAGCTTGTTTCGGAAAGAAAATAGCTGCAGGTGTGATTGATGTACTAATAGCTCTATCTAACTTGATGCTTGTTTTTACTAAAGATGAAAAATAGAATTCGAAGGTAATGCATTAAATGCCCCTTCCCACAAGGGTCGAAATTATTATGTACCTTATACACAAAAACTAGAGAAAAGCGGTCGTCGATTCCAGACTCTGCAAATGGATATTTTTTCTTCTTTCACGACAGTGGACGACGAGTGGGAGCAGGACTCCGCACCCCGCGCGCCGCCTGCTGGCCCGCAGAGGGCCTCTACACCTCGGGAGCCATCTGCTGATCGCCCGCAGCAGGCCTCGGCACCCCGCACGCCGCCTGCTGATCGCGCGCAGGAGGCATCTGCTCCTCGGGAGCCGACCGCTGACCGACCAGAGCAGGGCGAAGTCCAGCCCCAGAGGCCTCGCCGGCGTGCCCGTCGGGTGGCTGCCGACGAAGGGACCAGGGAGATCCTGCAGCGGGCGATTGAGCAGGTGCAGCAAGCCGTCGAGAGGCTAGAGGACGATGATGCCATCTTTGGACATTTGGTGGGTCAGGATATCAGGCAAGTGGCAACTAGAAAGAAGTCCCTTCTTAAAATCCAAATCATGCAGCTGATCCACGCTGCGGCATATGAGGAATGATATCCAGTCCTGCAACAGCTACAGGGCCCGGCATTTGTTTTGCTTTAAATCAATGCTGTTTTTAATGTGTTATAGAATCGCTAGGCTTATGTTTGATAATGTTAGCAAGCGCTTTTCTCAGGCTCATTGTTAATAAAATAATGATAAGAATCAGTAGCCTTATAATAAAGCTCAATGTATTGCCGAATATAATTAAACCAGAATGAGACGACAGTTTCGGGCGTAGCCCATTATCAAGTCTGACAATTCCGGATTTGAAATTTCAAATCCGGAATTGTCAGACTTGATAATGGGCTACGCCCGAAACTGTCGTCTCATTCTGGTTTAATTATATTCGGCAATACATTGAACTTTATTATAAGGCTACGGCTTTTCATCATTATCTTAGGTTATAGAATCGCCGTAATTATTTATTTGCACATCAATTTTGTACTTGTGTTGATTCCAATTCATTACCGTTCAAATTCATTACACGCATTGTGGTTGTATCTGATCACGAGTGGTTGTATCTGATTATTTTTTGCATATTTCGTCATGTCTTTTGCATGATTTACATTTGTTTTATTCGGTTTGATCTTTGTAACGTAATAAATGTGGGCGATTAAAATAAACGTCTTGCATTGGAATCTCATCGTATGTATTATATTTTTGATCGCAAGAAAAGGAATGCTGCTCTTGCATAGTCACAGATAACATGTAACAATATAGATAAAAACGTAACAAGGGCACGTAACAAGCAGTTTCAGTCGTAGCCGCCGAACAGCGAAGAGCGCCGTGCAAGGCGCCGAACAACAACAACAGGAGAACACGGCGGCTGCAGACAATCGTCGTTGTAGGACTCGCAGACGGCAGAACTTCCCCATGCCCTAGACGGCAACCACGTCCTCCTGTAGCGCCAGCAGACGTAGGTGGCGAACAGCTGCACTTGCAGCGCAGCTGACTGCAGCTCAGACAGCGTGCTCCATCTGCCATGGTACAGCGCCCTCACCGGCGAAGTAGCGCGCGAACTGATCGCGCACGTGCTCGGCAGCTCGCGTGTAGTTGTTGGCCCCGAGACGGTGGAGCGCGTCAGCCAGCCCGGCCGGGGCGGTGGCTCGATCTTGCTGGTCGAGTTCAGGCCTTCCCTGCAGTGCGACGACTTCGTCCGCGTGGAGGAAGTTGTGCAAAATGCACGTGGCGTGCACGATCTTGCAGGCGTGCTGGACGTTCACGTTCATTGGCCGACGATATATCCGCCAGGTTTGTGCGAGAATGCCGAAAGCATTTTCCACGATGCGACGAGCGCGCGAGAGGCGGTAGTTGAATACCGTGGCTCGGACTCCAAGTCTTGCCTTTGTGCGCCCGGGATACGGCCGCATGATGGCGGTGGTGAGCGGGAACGCCTCGTCGGCGACGATGACGTGCGGCATGATGGTGTTGGTCCCGGGCAGGGCTTTGGGCGGCGGCAGCTGCAGAGAGTCGTCTCGGAGGGCGGCGGCCAGGTCGCTGCGGCGGAATACGCCGCCGTCCGATTCCCTGCCGGCACTTCCCACCGACACGTACACGAATCGGTAGTCGCCGTCCACAGCGGCTAGGAGAACCGTGCTGAACGTGTGTTTGTAATTGAAATATTCGCTGCCGGTGTTGGCTGGCGCCTGCAGGACGACATGTTTTCCATCGAGAGCTGCCACACAGTTTGGGAAGTTCCACCGGTCTCGGAAGGTGGCCTCGCTCCTCTCCCAGGTGTGGCGAGTAGGGGAGGCCAACACCTCCGGACCGACGGCGGTGATGATCGCGGCGCACGTGTCGTAGACTATGGCGCGGACCGTCTTCTCTCCCAGGCGGTACGTGGGAGCTAGAGCCGAAAACTCCATCCCTGACGCCAGATACCGAAGGGTAACGGCCAGGCGCTGCGCGGGGTCGATGGGCTCTCTGAAGTTGGTGTGTTTTCTGGCGATGGTTGGCCCGGTCTTGCTAAGAAGGAGATCGAAAGTGTCGCGGGTCATCCGGAAGTAGGTGCGGTGCCGCTCAGGGTCGTTGGTACGCAACTCTTGTACGAGGTTGAAGAATTCAGGCCCATGTCACTCCACTTTTGATGACATCATAAGGGGGCCTCAGGACAATTAATGGCGCGGTGCGCCACAATCGCTCCCAAGCTACTGGCCAACAGCTGCCATTTTTGAAAATATTATTTTGAAATAAAGTTTCAAGTAATGAAAATATTGTAATAAAGTTGCAACTCAAATCTATACCATATCTAAAAACTTACTGAAAAATGAATTATCCAAAGTAAAAATATAAGCTCGGTGCGTTTTTACGTTGCTTTCCTGCTGCTGCAGAGGGTTTTTAAATCGTCTATATCTTCAAAACCGGCCATTTCTTAGCATATTGCTGCTCATTTTTGTCGCTGGAAAATTAGTTGGGCTTTCCATTGACATCAACGGCTGAGCGGTATGTGCAGAGTGCCATCAATAATCTTCAAATGAAATTAGTCATTTTTACGTTGAAATGAATGGAGTACCCCTTGCGAGCATCAGGGGTGACGTCACTCAGGATCTGTCTCTGATTGGTCGGCGGGAGAGTGACTGTACCTTCTATAGATGGCCTTGGAAGAATTCCCCCCGAGCTCGGCGGCGGCGGTTCACGTCAGCGACCCAGCTCTTGTGCCGACGTTTCGGACGGCACTCCTCGTCATACTCCATCATCAATAGCTCGGCTTGGGCCAAACTTAAGCCGACGTCCATTCTCGATATATAAAGTATAGAAGCAATAACAAGAAGATATATAAAGTATAAAAGCAATAACAAGAAAAGGTACTACCTGAGATGTTTTGTTTACATTTGTTTTCCTGACGGCGGTATTTGCTTCGTATGTAACCCAAGAGTATTAAGAAAAATGTTGCGTGCTTATTTTCGAAGGATTTTATTTGTTTATCTATTGCATCATGGTTTACCTGCTAAATCATTTTTTATATTTTTATTTTTTTATTTTCCTACAGAATTACTATCATTCTGTGACTTCAGGTGGCTTGCGCACCCTATATTAACAAAACACTTGATACTAACATAAGCGCGTACTTTCAGCACCTCTGCCGATGCTTTTTGTGCAGTGGACGGCGTCATTTTAGGAAACGCCGAAAATACGCGCTTATCGACGATTACGCGCTTACTTTCGGCGGATGCCAATGTGCAGTGGACGGCGACCTTTAAAGCTATTTTTGCACGGAATAACTTTAATGATTTTACGCTGAGAGCTTTTGAATCGGGGGAACGGAATATGGTACACAGCAGTCATTTCCACCTCCAGTCGGTAAGTCCTACTTTGCGACGTTATAGCATTAGCTGCCTTGACATTGGGGAAAAGAAACTTGCTTATTCGGAAACTTTGGACATTTTTACAATACTCTATCCCATAATTACAGGAATTTCACCGAAGTTGATTTTCGACTTAATTCCGCTTTTTTGATGCGCCTGGCCCACTGTGCACCGCCCAGTCGTCTTTATGCATCTGTGTAACCGTTGAGTGGATGGTATCCAGACGAGCTAGGCGTCGGCGTCGCCCTTCCAGCGGCCGGGCAGCGCAGGTGGACGTGCCGCGGATGGTCCGCCTCCGATCTCGGCACACTCTGCAGAGTGCGGCTGGACGCTCCACGGAGTTGCATAGCGTCGATAGGCCGTATGGTGTCGCTGTCGTAATTATAAAAGCGGAAGTAGAAGGTTGAAGCAATATATAGAATGCTATCTTTTTCCAGCTTTGTTGCACATAATTTAATAGGTATTGGCCGTTTCTTTACAAATATTGCAAAGCACAGCTTTATGTGCTGGTAACGATATGTGCGCGTCGGTTGCGGCGGTAATCGTCGAAAAATATATAATTTATGAACGTTTCTTGATCATTGAATGATAAACATGGCAATGTTTGCCTGTTGTGAAGACGACTCCTATACTGCCGCTCTAACGTCCGGAATTATTCGTGTCTGATTACGGGGATTACGCCACTCTATCAGCTGATTTTTGTTTCCGAGTCACGTGACCAACCGGTGTCTCCCTGGGGGCGATACAGTGATGAACACTGAACAGCGATGAACTTGCCGCCGCGCCGGGATGAACTTTGGCCACCGGGCGAACGTTTTACGTGACGAACTGTGTTTACTGGTTTTTGTATGCCTCATGTCTGTATATATTTCATATAGCTCCGCTCTGGGGCGGGGAGTATTGTGGCGCATCTTATGCATGTATATTTTTATTTTTATTTTATCGAAGCATAATTATTGTATAAGTTTCGCGAATTATCGATCTTGTTTAATTATTATTGATTAATTGCGTTTTGTATGATTCACTTTTATTTTCCCGCCTGTAACCATTGGCAACCACGCGCATTACTTTTTATGTCATGAATTTTATTTGCCTTGAAAATTGAGGTTGCTTTTGTTGTTAGTTTTTGAGTTGTCTGTCTACAATAGTATATGTCCGAGGACCGAGAACTTGCGTTGATCATAACTCTTACAATATAATTTCTCATCATCAACAATTACTTTTATCGACCCTTGCCTGCCACGTCATACTATTCATAATTACGCTCAAACTAGCCATAGCTCACCCATGGATGAGATAACACTGGATTGGTGTCTCGTGGAAATTAACATTGGGGTCCGCGACATTGGGATCAGGCCTGCCATCTAGCGGGAGAATTATCGTAAGTTAGGAGCAAGCCGAGTGAACACCATTGTTCAGCATTATGACACACGTGGGTGTGGTGTGTTTATTGGCTTGAAGTGCATATTCCCATGAGTTAGAGGTAATGTTACTGGGCCTGAGACGACAAAAAATGTCGTAAATGCTTGAAAGGCAAAAACGTCCAGCAGACTTAAGGTAATAACGAAAATAAAATGCGAAAGACGGTGTGTATTGGACCGCCCAGTCCCGTCGGCTTTTACGACCTTTGCTATGGTAATTTACTCACAATGGTACTATTGGTCTCAAGATAAGGGTCCAGGCGGCCTGTAGGTTTGATGCGGTGAATACCCTCACCCTCGCCACAGCTCGAGTGGGGGTAGGGGAGGGGGTGCATTCGGCCCGAGTCTGACAGCGGGGTCGCTCGCCACAGTGTGGTGTCCAGCGGTGCAGTCGGAATCAGGCGGAAT